TAGCCTTCATCTTAGGCTCAATGCTTCTCCATCAATGACTCATTGTTCTACTGCACCCTGAGACCTGAGTACATTTACAGTGCTAGGGTGTAGTTACATTCATTGGAGAATTCATTCATTCTTCACTGCCATTGAGTCTCTTCTGACTCAGAGCATCTCTGTAGGTCAGGGTAGAAGAGCCATGGTGCATTTCTGAGGCTATATGGCCCTGCACAGTGGAATGCAAATTCCCAACAGACCCACCTCCCGCTTGAAAAGCTGTGCTCTAGTTGGCCTTGCAGGCTCCTGGTGCTGACCACCCATGGCTGTGAGTGCTCTGAGCAGGGAATCCAACAAGGATGAACACACTCCTCTTCTCATCTCGACTCCAATCCATTTCTTCTTGTGTTTTTTTCCACAGGGGTCTTTTCCCAGGTTACCCTGAAGGAGTCTGGCTCTGGGCTGGTGAAGTCCACCCAGACTCTATCGCTCACTTGCACCTTCTCTGGGTTTTCACTGAGCACTACTGGTATTGGTGTTGGCTGGATCCATCAAACCCCTGGGAAGGCACTGGAGTGGGTTGCACTCATATATTGGGATGATGATAAACGTTACAGCTCATCTCTGAAGAGCCGAATTTCAATCTGCAAAGACACTTCCAAAAACCAGGTGTTTCTAACCATGACAAACATGAACCCCACAGACACAGCCATATATTACTGTGCACATCCCAGGGGAACTTCTGTACAAAAACTAGGGCTTCTTTTTGGATCTCCAGGAGGAGAATGTGGTGGAGAAACCATTTCCTGTCAGGCTGTGAGGTTTCCTCAGTACAGCCAGCCATTTGAGTTCCATCTTTCTTGATTTCCTCTACTGAGAAACCTCATGTGATGGTGCTTACCAATGAAACAGCAATCCTGTTTCATTGTTTGTTTTTAAAGATCTAAATCCTCACCATAACATACTTCAGACCCATATCCATACTCAAGAAATGTAATGTGTTACAAAACTGGGACCAAAGTAGAAGAATACAGATGCATGGTTTTATTAAAATCTTTCACATAAATAAAGACTTAGAAGATTAGAAACATAAGGAAGCATAGAAGGTGACTTAGTTAATTGTGCCAACCTGGCCGATAATCACATGTGGGGCTAATTGAAAGGCGGAGGGATCAATGGGTGATAAGCCTCAGCTTTCTAGTTCTCGGGTCTCTTGCTTTGTGATGGTAACACCAGGGTGCAGCTGCCTTAGTAGTTCCCTGCTTCAGCTTGCAAGATTGACTTCCTACAAGACATCCCCAAGGAGAAGCCACATGGACCTATCCCGATGCAGCCCTGGGTGCTGGAGCAGCTGTGTGGAGACCCCTGCTAGTGCCGAGATGCTTATTCATTCACTGACTCAGCTTTCCTCCTGCAGTTGGCATCATTGCCTCTGTTTTGTGAGGTGGAGGACTTTGTGGACTGGTGTTGGGTTAATGGGATAATGGTGGACTTGTGGGCTTGGGCAGCATTGGGTTGGGATGTTTTCATGATGCATACATTCTTTACATAAAACTCTCTTATACATGAGTTGCTTTGGATTTGTTTCTCTAAAGTACCTAGACTAATACATAAGGTTTTCAAATAAAATGAGTTTCTAGAATGATCTGAACAAAAAACAAAACACTCATATTTCAGCAAAACAGTGGGATTCTTTTTGAAAAATAAAAGAACAAGAAATCACATCTGAGTAAACAGATTAAATAAACAGACTACTGTGTGAAACCAGGAAAGCCAAGGTCTTTGAAGAATTTGTAAATGATATGAACATGAAACTTAGTAAAGTATGGTTTGAAGTGTTTTTGTCAGATCTCTTCTCTAATTTTGTCATAGTGACCCTAGTGGTAGGGTAGAACTTCAGGTGGGAATTTCTGAGACTGTAATATTGCAGGAATAGAATGTCCACTTTTTATGTTATTTGCTGAGGACTTAACCTTTTGTTCTAGATACATTTCAAAGCAAAAATACTTTTTTTCAGGCTCTATCCTTATACGTATTTTACTTGAGAAAGAGCCATGAAAAATTATGTTGAAATCTCATCTACAACTACTTACAACTAGATGGCACGGTCAGCAGTTGGAAATTACCAGCCATGGTTGGATCACCTCTGGGAACTTCTCTACGCTACTGCTTATGCACTGTGAGAAGTGAGTGAAAATGTCCCTGTGTCTGGAGAAACAATTCAGTGTTTCTTCCATTTTTAGAATTGTTATGCGTTCAAACCAAACAATCCACATACACTGGGACTATGATAGCATTCTGATTGCAAATACTGAACTCGAGGGAGACTACAAATTCAGTGTATTCCTGTGGCTACATCACTCCCACCACTGACACGTGCCTGCATCCAGCTTGCTTCAGTAACCAGTTCTAGAGATATTTTCTTGTTTCATTGTGGGACCTGTCCATTAGCATGCTGTTCATGAGCCCCACCTTGCATACTAGCCAGTAATACTCATTGGCAAATGCTTATTACTTAAATGCAACCTCCCCATCAATGGACTCCAGAACCTGCTGAGTCAGGAAGACGTTGATCCAGAAATGCCTGCCTCCTTCCTCCTCAGTCTGATGGTGGTGCTGGGTCTCCCAGCAGGTCAGTACCAGGGAGATTCCATGAGTCACTGTGGAATCAAACAGATGGGGTGTTTAATGTGCTTGTTTCTTAATTTCCCTGGTGTCTTTTCCCAGGTGAAGCTTTAGAAGCCATGTCCTCATGGGGTGAGGCCTTTACAGACCCTCACTCTCACCTGCACCGTCACTGCGGAATCAGTTTACAGCACCAGTGCTCTGTGGCATTGGAGGGAGCAACACTCACAGAATGGCTTTTAGCAGATGGTATGCCTCTATTATAGATCACAGTGGTACAGAGGTGACGTGCCATCTCTCATAGCACTTCTAGTCATCAACCCTGACACACCCAAGAATCAATCTCCCTGTAGCTGAGCTCCATGACACAGAGGCTGTGTATCACTGTTCAGGGAGACATTGAGAAATCAGTGTGGGTCCACACACATACTGCCTTGCAGAACAGCTGGAGGCGCTGCACTCAGGGTGTTCAGACAAACAGGGGCTGCTTGCACCAAAAGGCACAAGCCCAGAATCCAGGAGCAGGTGCAGAGCTGAGCAGATCTGCTGTATCTTAAGTTGATTTTGTTCCAAATCCTCAGCATTATATCCACAGAGAATTCTATGTAAAATTGCAGAATGATTCCATTTTTCTTCATTAGAAAATCAAAACTTCCCAGTAAAATCTATGAAAGCTAATACTTGTGTAAGGAACAAACTTACTACAAAAAAAACCCAAAAATATATGGCACTAAAATGAATCACAGAGAAGTGGAAAGTGTGCAGGATTGGGTGTGAGGTCGGGGATGTCCTGCTTGGTTCCCGAGCTCACAGTTTTTACTGTCTGCCTACTCACCACCGATCATGTACTGTGTGGACAACCATCCATTCCTTGCAGATGACTTTTAATTAGCTGATATTATGATGAAGGAAAATAATTATGTCCTTCCATTTAATATGATAATTTTGCCAATTTTAAGTAAATGGATTTCCCCCCATCTATTCTGCCTTCGTTTCTCTATGTTGACAACAACTACCAAAAAACCTTCTGTCTTTGCTATCGAGTCTATTCTGACTCACAGTGACCCTAAAGGACTGTAGAACTACCTCTGTGGGTTTCCAAGACTGTCAATTTGTATGTGAGTAGAAAGCTTCCTTTTACTCTAGTGGTGCAGCTGGTGAATTAGAACTGCTGACCTGGTAGCTAGCAGCCCAATGCATAACTTATTAGGTGACCAGAGCTACTCTCTGTAATATAACACCACAAATAGTTTGTTTTTTAAGGACAGAAATGTGTTTTCTCATACTTCTGGAGACTAGACATTCAAATTTAAGGCACTGGATCTAAAGAATTTTTAATATTGCAAAATTTTTACTATTGCAAAAGAGAAGATCCTTGTGTCAAAAATAGTACAAGATCGTTTTAAACAAGTGCAAAGAAAATAACCTTGATTCATACATTAAACCTTATTGGAAAAAAAACCCCAACTCACATAGATTGTCTTTGTAAAAGAAAAACATAAAACCCAATAGAGATAGCCTCTTTTACCATAAAACCATTAATGGCTCAATCAACTGGAGAAATTGCATATACTATCATCAACTGTGGATTACTTTAATATAAAGTAACTCGAATGACTGAGTAATAAAATATAAGGCAGTTTAAAAATTGTTAAGAATTATTTAAGAGATAAAATTATATTTAATATCATCACCAAATAGGTATATTAAATTTAACTCTGAGTGAAATCATCATTGCAATAACTGAGTATTCATGGGAAAACAAAGAAACCAATTCACTCTTGCAGTGAATTTATCTACAAGCGTGTTATAGACAAGTGCATTCTCCAAAAGGAATAAGCATGGAGGTCACTCAAGCACCTGTCTATCTAGTTCCTCTTGAGCTGTGACATAGCCTCACTTCCTCTTCTACCTTGTGCCTCCATAGAGGACCCAGTCACTTCCTCCCAGTTCAAGTACTGGCCAAGGGCATTCCATGGAGATGGTGGTGACTCACACTGTGTGGACATGGCTCCATTTCCTGCAGAATCTGTTCTGAGTATCCCAACATGTCACTGTGAGCAGGGGAGGCACAGTCAAAAGTCAGAGAATTGTTCGCATCCTTAGAGAGAGTACAACTCGGGCCAGGCTTGGCAGTTGCTAGACCCACAGCACATCAAGAAGACCTAGTGATGTTACATCTGGCTCAGCCTCTTATATCCTTCCTTGAGCTCCACATGCAAACCTCCCTGCAGGCTGTCACTGGAAACCTCATGCTAAGCTGACCATGTGTGCCCTTCTTCATCCTACAAATGGCATGCAGAATCTCTGGTTATTCCTCTGCCTTCTGGCAGCTCCCTTGGGTGAGCTTCTCTAGAGATCCAGGACTCATAAGGAATGAGTGAGGGCTAAGGTGGATTTACTCTTGCGGTCATTTCTGTAGATGTCTGTCTGAGCTGATGGTGCAGGAGGTAGGCCCAGAGCTGAACATTCACAAACCCTGTCCCTTACGTGCTGTTTCTGGGCTCTCCATCACAACCAGTGGTGACTGCTGGCATTGGATCCCCCAGCCCCCGAGAAAAAGGCTGAAGTGATTGTCAACTATATGACTTGAGGGAAGCACCTACTACCCCCCATCTCTGGAGAGTCAACTCTCCAGCTCCAGAGACTCACCAAAAACAAGTTCTTGAAATAGTCAAGATTCCTGGGTGAACTTCAGACTTACAAAGGTTTTGAATTAGGGGTGCTTTAGAGTATAGCTCTAAAGTGTAAGGGGACCAGGGACCAGAGAATATTTGTCCTCAAAAAGTTCCTAGGAAATGTCCATTATTTTTCGTTCCAGTTTCCCGTGACCTTTTTGAAGTTGCTTTATATGTGGGAGACAGGTAATGTGAACCCAACATTGTACTGATGGTGTACTATGACAAGAAGAGCAGGAATAGAAGGTGGAGTTGCCCAAATAAGGGGCAAAAGTGAAAAGGACGGAGAGATATACTGAGCTGCAGGGTGGGCTGGAGAACAGTGGGTCAGCCTCCTTTTGCTGTCTGTCCCCTCTCCTCTCAGGAACTCTTTGTGATGAGGCTAATGCTCTGTGATGCAGGCCTGGATTTATAGACCAGTGTGTCTTCCAAGTGCTCGGTGGCCTGAAAGCAACAGTGTGAGTCACACCATGGAGAATTCCCTCTATGCTATGAAAAGCATCAGTCCTCTATTACTGAACTCCAGCTGCATTGACAGGGCCTCTGCAAGCATCTTGGCCACTGGGTGTGGAGTGTGACTTTTCCTCCCGTGTCTCTCCTACCTTTCTGTTACCCCACCATAAGAAAACAAGAAACTGTGCAATTAAATGAGAAAAGGATTTTCTTTTTCTGTTCCAATTTCTAAATCAAGCACATAGACTCGGAGACGGGAAATCTCAGGAGAGTATAGAGCATTCATATTTAGAACGCAGGGCAAGCGGAGAGAGTGAGCACAGGGAATTTTATCTGAAGACATCAGATAGGATATAGAAAGGGCTCCAGGGGAACAAAATCCAAGCAAAGTGACTCAGTGGCTGAGGACAGGATTCCCAGAGTTTAAGATCCCTGTGGGAAGACAGAGCCTTCACACAGGCTCACCCTTAGCCATCCCAAAGCAGGGATCCCTAAATTAAGTCCTCCCGTTTTGGTAGGGCTAATCTGATGTGAAATACCCGGAGAGTCTACTCAGAAGTTGAAGCCCAACTCCGGCCTCTAAAATGAAATCCTACCAGATGGAGCACAGAAGCATCTGGATATCTAAGTCTATGTCCTTCATGAGCAGAAGGAATCCAGCTAGATCTCATGAGAAAAATCCTTAAATGAGTTATTTGAAGAAGGAAAGCAATATGATTTCATCTATTGTGAACCAAATACAAGGAGCCCGTGGCATAGTGGTTATGAGACGGTCAGCTTGAGCTACTCAAGGTCAGCAGTTCAAAATCGCCTGTGTGCACCATGCGAGAAGACGAGGGTTTTTAGTACCATAGACCATTGCGGACTTGGAAACAGTCATTTGTACCCTGTCCAAGGGGGTCACTGTGAGTGAAAATCGACCCAGTGTCAACGACTCTATGGCAGTAAGAGTAAGAGAAAATGAACACCAGAGGGAAAACAAAGAACGCGATTAAATACATGTAGAAAGTCATGACATTCCTAAATTCCAAATGGCTGCAGCTTGTTCTAAAAGGCAGTCAGCGGTTTGGGATCCAGTCCCTCAATCTGTTCTTGTCCATCAGCCTCAAGTGAAGACATGGAGAAGCAAAAAGAGGAAGAAAAGTTACCCTATGAAAGGTAAGATGGTTCCCTTTCAATGAGGATCCAAAGTGTTAATCCTATAATCATTCCTGTGAATTGGATTGGTACTGGGCTTGGGAGGTTGCTAGTTGCTGGTCACATTCTCATGAGTAAAAGAGCTCTGAAGAGAAGCTCAAAGCCCAGATACTTCTCATGTCCCCTGATATGCCTTCAGTGGGATGAAGCCTCGAGAAGTCTGAGGGGTGGTGCTCAGTAGGAGCCTGTGTGTGATGTAATGGCTGGGTAACTGCAGAATTTGGAGGTGGAACAGCCAGGGCCAAATATAACAGGCTACATAACTTTCCCAAGGCTTGATTCTTCTCTGAGATGGAGCAGAGGACAATGAACTAGAAGCACTTTGTAAAAAACAAACCACTCACACACGAGGCTGGATAAGAGGGTCTGTGATCCAATGACTTTAAACTAAAAGCTTGAGCTATCAGTCTAACTTCCAACAGAATCCTTCAGAGACACCCAACCAGTATCCTGTCAGGTCCTGGGCACCTTGACTATAATCACCTTAACCTGCCCTCCTAATTCCGGCTTTAAAAAGTGTCCAGAATGAACTGGATGAGGAAAGGTGACACTCTGATTTTCTGTCACCGTGAGAAACACTGCCCCTTCTCTTCTTTGCCTATCCTCATGCCAAGGGCTCCTGAGTCACTGTAGGGCCACAGGGAAGCGAGGGCTGAGTTGGAGGTGACCTTCAGGTAGGGAATGTGGTGGAAGCCTTGGGGGCAGGGGGGCGGAATGAGCTCAGTGATGTTGATGCTTGGGGTGTGGCAGGAAGAAGTAAGGTTGTGGAAAACAATGGGGTCTGTCAGAGTCTCAGGTGAGTGCTCAATGGTGACATTCTGAGGAGGGAGGAGCTCAGGGTGTGCGGTATAGGAATGGGCTGTCAGATTGTGGAGAGGGCTTGGGTAGCTCACATTGTGAGAAATACATGGGTGCTGTAAGAGTGTGGGAAGGGGTTAATGACAGGGTGGAGGCAGAAGTGAGGCCCTGCACTGTAGATGTTCCACTGCTGCTGCTCTCACTCTCTGCAGAGCCTGCAGCTTGTCCCTCTGTCTCCTGCATCCAACTGGGAAAGCTGCTTAAAAGGGCAGCTTCCATCTGCTGATATACAGAGAACCCTCTGGTTCTGTGTGGGAAAACGCACCTGATGAAAGCCATCATCAGCCAGGTGTGATGCAGCCAGGAAGTGGCCCAAGCCCTTCCCCAGAACCAGGGTGTCAATCTTTACTTAAAACGGACATCCTGAAGTGTATGAGTATTATACCAGAAATGTCACCAGCTGTTTGGTGGCTCCTGCCTTGGCTCTGGGAGCTATTCCCCAGCAGAGCCATCCTGCTTCAGTCAATGGAATGTCTAATGCCTTCTCAGTTTCAGCATTCTCATCACTTTCAGAGCCTCAGCCCTGACCCCTCTTCTGATATACAAACCCAACATTCTATACCATCATGCTGAAACTTCAGCCACTAGCTCTGGCTTGAGTCCTCACCATAGCCCACCTTCAATCCTCTTTCCCAATCCCACCCCTGCCTTCCACAACACATATGGAGGCCCTTGAAATATCTTACCACAAACTCCCAAATGGGACATCCTCTTCTACGGCCAAAAGGTCTAAGGAATTAGGCCCCAAAGTCAGAGTCCACTCTTCCTGGGGATACTCTGAGTAGAACTGAGCTCCACAAATAATTGGAGCACATCCTTCAAAAAAGGTTCATTCAAAATGAATGGAGCCCACCCAGAAAGATCCCAGCATTTTGGAATTGACAAAGTCCCAACTATAATTTCCAGGGGTATGCCTGGCAAAGGACCAGCCTGGGCCATGACAGCCTTCTTCACATGTCAAAATTACAAGGAGATCAGGGAGAATCTGGGCAAGGGTCAGAACCATGGTCCTGAAAAGGTCCCAACATGTAATACAGGCCAGGGCTCAGAAACGCCCCAGTAAAAGTTCTGCATACATGCTCTGAGCAGGAGGTAAAGGATGATAAAGAACCGAAAGACCTACCATCAGTCTATTTGGGCAGGAGGTTAAACAATCTTAAGCAGGGCTAGATTCTTTTATGTACACATCATGCCTGCTTTATTGTCCATCTTACTTTATCAGAGTCTGACCATGACAGAGAAATGAGGAATCTGGTCCTCGGATGATGAGCACAAAGCAGTAAGATAACATAGGAAGATTACATGCTGGTGCATGCAGATATGAATGAATCTGAGGTCAGTCAAATAAACCCCAAGGTCACCAGTACTTGGACATCTGGGATCAGCAGCAGATAGACAAAATGAATGCAACATCGATGTCCAGAAAAAAAATGATCTAGCTTCTCAAAGAAAGAAAGAAGCCAAACTATGAGTCAATACTGACTCATAGAAATCCCATAAGACACAGTAGAACTGCCCCATGTGGCTTCCTGAGATGGTAACTGCTTTTGAGATTAGGAAGCGCAATGTTTTTACACACTGATCATTTATACTAAGATAGGCAACACCCCTATGCAGCCTCTCTCAATTGTATCAAGGTTGTGATCAGATGAAAGGTCTGTTCTCTTCACAACTGGCTGCTTTACAAAAGATTCCATCATGGAGTTGACTACACTATGTTAGATCACATCCACCACCTTAGTTGACATGAAACCTAACCATCACAGTGACTCTCTAGGTGATGGACTGGTCCAGTTCAATTCAAGTCTGCAAAGTCAACTAAGAAAGTTATGGGGAGTATTTATACATTTAGTGTTTCGAAGGGTTAGGATTGATGAAGATTTTTGAAAAACATAGAACCATCAGGCATGCTAATTATACATTCTCTTTAAATAAATTAAAACATATGTAGGTGAAAAAAGCCAGAAATGTTTGTGTTAAGGAATGTCATGAATTCTTCCTGTCTTCTTTTCTTTTCTCATCCTGATGAAAATGCACTTGCTCATCCTGTCAATGTAGGGCCTTCTTTAGAGAATTCCACAGGTAAACCTTACTGTATCTACCCTGCAGTCCTGATCTCATCACTTCTGACTATTTGTTCCAGGACTCAAAGAAGAGTGAAAGGTAACACAATCTGAGTCCATCAAGGATGCCAAAATCGCTGTATTTTTCAAGGGAAGGGGAAGAGATATGTCGGCTAACTGTACAGGACATCATCTCTGAGGATGTACTAATGAAGAAAGTCACATTTTGATATTTCCCTTACACAAAGATGTTTTCAATTTTATAGCCATAGTTCTGTACTGACAAACACCACGGCTCAGTGACAGGGATGGCGTTTCATCATGCTGTTTAATCACCACTCCTGTTGTCAGGGATTCCTCCACCGTTGGAGAGAAACTCAGTGACCTTAAGCTGAGCCATTCCCTTTATAGCTCAACCTCAATCATTGTCTCCCTTTCCACCAGACCCTGGTGATCACTGAAGAACAATGGCCTCTATTAAGTGTCCTATTTCTGCACGGAAGATTCTTAGTATGTCTCACAATCCACCTATGTAGTTGTTAGGTGCCAGGTGCCATCGAGTTGGCTCTGAGCTATAGCAAAGCTGATGGGAGTTGGGACAGAAGAGATAACAGGTTTGAGAGGACACAATTGGGGTCCTGCATTTGAAGCAAGGAGAGGTGCTTTTTCTCTAGTAAAACTCTGGTCTCACAGTTTCCTTGTGGGTTTGATTGTATAGTTCTCCCAAATATTTATAATCTTATAGACCATATTAAGTTAAATATTTTTTTCATAATTTTTATTTAAAAATCAATGAAAACAAATACATTTTAATACAACTTTGCTTTGTTTATCTCATGACCTTCAGGAGACACTCAGGCACCATGTTCAGAGGAAGCTCAGTCCAACAGGTGCTGGAACAAGGTCCTGGCCCTCAGTCCTGAATGCATTCCTTGCTTACAGCCAGGGCAGCTTGTCAGACTTTAGACAAAATCATCTTGGAAGAACAGCCTCCAGTGGTGTGTTGAAATTTTCAATCAGGTTCTGGATAAGATCTGGAATGGAACCTTTGACACCGTGCCATCCCTTAATCACAGAGTCAGAAAAACAAAAACAAGGTAGTTGGAATTATAAGCTGCAAAGTTGTATGCATGTTTAATAGATCACAACAGGAGCAAATTGGATTGTATGTTTGTTGGAGTCATGTTTTCTATAATTTCCACATTTAATAATATTGAGGTACTTAGTGCATCTTGATTAAAAGACTGACCAAATCTAACACCATGGTTGGCACACTGATAAACAAACTCAGCACATCTGAGTATAGAATCCAAAATATTCCTTGATAGTTCAGCGAGTACTCATGAGCTCATTTCAGGACAAGTTTAGTAGACCTGACAAGAAAGTTATGTGCAGAGGGATAATGTCATCAAATGACACTGAAGAACTCCCATATTAACCACTGTCATGAAATGAACTGAGATGACCATGGACAGGAAGGTGACTTGGACTTGTGTGCATCTACATCACAGTGTGTAACTTAAACTGCTCAGCTAACAAGCAGCACAGATGCTATGAGATGGAAGTTTGCTCAAATGATAGTAAAGTAATGCTGTGTCAGTCTGCATTTGAGAAGTAAAATAACCCAATTACCTCCAGATGATCAATGTTAGTGTCCAGTGCATCTGTGGATCTTCATGAAGTCTAAGATTCGCTGTTACAAAGCAGTGGCTGATTTCCCTCTGCAAATCCTGGGCCAGAGAATTCAAGGTGACCACGATCTTGTGCTTAGATCTCCACACTGTTGAAATATATATTGATTTAGAAATTTAAAGAGATTATAGCTGATCAGAAAATGAGTGTGGTCAATCCTTAGTCTGGGGAAAATAATCTTTGTTATGAGGGAGAGAAGTGAGGAAGGAAACTGAATGGGGAATGGCTTTTTAAACTACATGTTTAGAGACAGTTCCACTGATTCCATAGTCAGTAAATGAACAATTTTCCTTGAGTCTAGGGAATAAACTCAAGGTTTACACCCCTGAGTAATTACCAGGGGGCTGTGACCAGAGCACAAATGTAGAGGCTGATTTTGGTTAGAAATGCTCATATTTTAGATGGACCAGAGTCCCCTGGGAAAGGGAAATTTAAAACAGTGTCCATGGTGGTCCCCTAATTTTTTAAGTTTAGTTGCCTGCATGGACCTTATTTTACCCATAGTGCCTGTTAGGTCTCAAGCATGTGTGTTTTTGTTCAAAACCTGAAATACTGATTTGGCCCTAATTTTGCATGTGCTCAGGCAAACCAAGGGACTCTCCTCTCACAGTCTTGCATCACTTTAAAGCTACAGAGCTGAAACTGGTATTTTCTGGGACCCAAATTCTCTAGTTGGATTGTCCTCCCTGAGACTCTATGACAATTGACTCTTTATTTACATTGAGACTGGCCTCAGCTATCAGGAGCTGGGATGTGGTCTTTGTGTTGTTTGTAGGAGTGCTGGAGTTGGTGATGACAGTGGCCCAAAGAAATTCCTGAAGACTTTTAGGAGGTTGATAAGAACGTGTCAGTGTGTAAAGATGAAAAGGCGTTTTGGAGAGTGTGGGGCAATGAAGATACCCTGGTACTTTATCCTGTCCATTCTCTGGGGCAAAGGATATATAAGAGCCCAAGGCAGGGCAGAGACCGTCGGGGGGCTGGAGGGAGAGAACACTGAGCTCAGAAATCCTGGTCTTTCGTTTGATCTTTCCCACACACCTCTTAGGCCAAGTACTCTCTCACTATTTACTAACTACCATGCACATGAGTTCAAAGAAGGAGCTACCCTACAAGGGGCTCAGAAGGAAGAAGAGAGTCTGTTCTCCATCGCTTTGTGTTTATAAGGACAGGGCTCCTTCATGCAAATTATTCTTCGGGCATTTGGGTAAAATTTCACCCTTGGGCTGGGAAAGCTACCAGTTCTCTTCAGACAAGACTGTGGGTCTCTTGGGAAAGCAGAGCTGTGGCCTCAAAATGCTTTTGCTGTGTGTTCTCCTGTGCCTGGTGACAGTTCCCCAAGGTGAGAGATTCAGACATCCCACCTGGGTCTATGGGAATGGTTGTGACTTCAAGTGACTGACAAAGACAGTCTGTTTTTGTTTGCAGGTGTCCTGTCTAAAGTGCAGCTTCAGGAGTCGGGTCCAGGACTGGTGAAACCCTTCCAGAAGCTGTCCCTCTCCTGCACTGTCTCTGATTTCTCCATCACAAGCTGTAGTTACCTCTGGAACTGGATCTGCCAGATGTCGGGGAAGGGGCTGCAGTGGATGGGAAACATATGGTATAATGGTGATGCATATTATAACCCATCTTTCCAAAGCCGACTCTCATAAGAGACACATTGAAGAATCAGTTCTCCCTGCAGCTGAGCTCCGTGATTGCTGAGGACACAGCCCTGTATTACTTGGCAAGGAGCAAGTGAGAGGAAGTCAGTGTGAGCCCCAACACAAACCTCCCCTGCAGGGAAGACACTGGGCAGCAGGGGGTGCACAGGACCCATTAAGCCCAGACACCCAGCCCTAGACAGGCACAGATGGATGCCAGGGAGGATTTCCTGTTGGAATTAGGGCTTCCTCTCTTAGCTCTCAGCATCCCCTAAGACAGTTTTGTCTTTTTCTCTAAATTTTCTCCTTACTGAAAACTTGAAAGAAGGAAATAGCGTTCTCTGCTTGCAGTATAAATATTAATACTAACTCCGAGACCCTTCATTATCATCCTATATGACCCATTTTCCTTTGTGAGAAACAGATGATAATCCTCACTATCGGTTACTCAAAATCTGTTGACAATGAAATAAAGGCATGTCCAGATTCTTGCGTGCAATGCATGATTTTAAATGTCCTAATCTCATTGCTCTATTACAGCTCAGTGTCAGACTTCTGGGGGTCTCTCTGCATTGCTCCCTGTGCACTGTGGTTAATGATGGACTAGTGAATGATCTCTAGGTCTGAGAAAATAATTGTGGCGACCTCTGGGGCTACACTTGTGACATGTTCTTAGTGATGATTGCTACCCATTGTCTCCCTTGATACAGAAACAAGTGTTCCAGGCATAGAGAGACACCTGACACTGGGAGTCAAAAATGAAGGCAACACTCATTGGAAGGACTTTTTTTTTTTTTTAAAGTAAATGTGTCACAAGAGGAAGAAATTGCAGATTAATATCTCAGAATGCTCTTTAGAACTGAGAATAGTGGGATTTCTCACATGCTGTGAATATGTTTGTTTGTTTTTTCCCAGAATTTCACATGCATACACTGTTATATTCTCTTTTTTT